CCCCCCCCCCTGGGCTGCCAGCTACACTGCTTCATTCCACACAGCTGGAAGTGCTAGGGAATGAACACTTGTCAGCTAAGGCCTGGCCCAACAGGAAGTGGGGTATAAGTACCCTAGCTCCCTGGCTCCTTCTTTGGAACCACCTTGGGTCTTGTGTTCTACACCAGTGTATCTCACACTATTGTTGGACCAGTGTTTTATTTTCAGTCCATCATGGATTGTTACTTTAAAAAATAAATTATTAAAAAATGGCTGTCGTCTTTATTCCAGAAGTGGCTCTGAGGGGGCATGCGGCTTAGTGTGATCTTTGTTAGCTTCCACCATGGCGTACCGTGGCCAAGGCCAAAAGGTGCAGAAGGTGATGGTGCAGCCCATAAACATCATTTTCAGATACTTGCAAAATAGATATCGGATTCAGGTGCGGCTTTATGAGCAAGTGACTATGTGGATAGAAGGCTGTATCATTGCTTTTGATGAGTATATGAACCTTGTATTAGATGATGCAGAAGAGATTCTAAAACAAAGTCAAGAAAACAACTAGGTCGAATCATGCTAAAAGGAGATAATATTACTCTGCTCCAAAGTGTCTCCTCCTACAAATGACGTAATGAAGTGAGAAATTATTGAAAAGCAATATAGTTTGTGTTTTATAGGTGTCCTTTGTTAGGAGAATAGTTCTTACCTATTTATTCATATTGGCTTACAATACCCTTATGTTACTATCAGATGACAATAAATGATGTTGAATTATTTTTATTAAAAAAATGAGTGTCATAAAAGTATCAAATTGTTATAAAAGTTTCTAAATATTTACTTTTACTTTTTATACATTCTTTATACTGAACCAGTCTCAAACAGTTCAAGGACTGGTACCATCACACAATACATTTTGAGGAATGTTGAGTCCCTTTGTCCCAGGTTCCTTATAGGAGTAAGTGCAATTGCTCACAGTGATAACTGTATTCAAGCATATCCTCTATTGGATGCCTTTCCCTCCCTCATTTCCCCACTGCTTCCTGGTTTTTCCTTGTCTCAGGGTCTTCTTCTAGAATCTAGGGGAACCTAATGAAGACAAGTAATTAAGGAGCCTGGAAACTACTCTCTGGTGTCCTCCATGTGTGAATTTGAATTTTATTCTTGTCTAGCTATAAGGCAACCCAGAGAATAAAAAGCAGTAGGGCTTTGGAGTATGAAAAATATTAATTTTGAACCTGCTACTTACTAGCTGTAGAACCATGAGAAAATTATTTAACTTTCTTGTGCCTCAGTTTATTTATACAATGATGAAATTAAAATAACTACCAGAATCGAAAATTAAATACAAAGATACTTCCCTAGCTGGTTTGGCTCAGAGGCTAGAGCATTAGCCGGTGGACTGAAAGGTCCCGAGTTCGATTCCAGTCAAGGGCACATAGCTTGTTGCAGTTTCCCCAGCCCTGGTCGGGGTGTGGGCAAGAGGCAACAAATCGATGTGTCTCTCTCACATTGGTGTTTCTCTCTGTCTCTCCCTCTCCCTTCCATTCTCTCTAAAAATCAATGGAAAAATATCCTCAGGTGAGGATTAACAAAAAATAAAATAAAATACCAAAATACCACTACACTTCTATTAGAATGGCCAAAACCCAAAACAGTAATAGCACCAAATGCTGGTGAGGATGTGGA